TAAACTGGTATAAAATGAGTAATTACTTCTGACTGGAAGGTGGAGTTCAAACCTGTCTGTTTAGCTTGTCATGCTCTGAAACTTGGATTTCACATAGGCATAGACATTGGCAAGGAGATTTAAATGAGATCATAAACTAGAATAAAACGTGGTTCACTGGCAGCTTTTAGATAAGCAACATTAATAGGTGTGCAATAATTGATTAGGAAACGTTATTTTGTGCTTTGGGAAACAGTGGGATAAAACCATGATATCAACAGACTAGTCTGAATTCTTGGGAACAATAATTGCTGTTACTGATTTGATGGGAAAAGGAATTAGGAGATATAGACAGGGTTGTTGGTTTTTTTTTTCCCCTGGAAAACCAAAATAGAGTGATGACATTTCAGTTGCACAAAGTTACAGTTCCAAAAAGAACCAAAAAATGAAGCATACTAAAATTTTAATGACTTAATTGGCAAAGACAGGGAATTTGTTAGGTCACACTGTTTAAGTGTCTCTTGGATGATTATTCTGAAGGGAGCTGATGCTGCAGCTTGTCAAAGAGACGATGAAGAGACAGAACTACAGGATGTGGGAACTTTTAGTATGAATTACGTACAGTGGGAGAAATAGGCCCACTTAAAAAGGAGGTGGTGCAAATAGTGAGAGCAGCCAAGTGGTCTGAAGAGGTACAAAGTAAATTGTTTTTATCAAAAGTTTGAAAGAACTTTGATTTTAAGTGACTTGCTTTTTAGAAATTGTATCCAGCATGATCACGTCCAAAATATATGGGTGCAATTAAAATCATATTAGAATCAATGATGAGAATTTTTGCAAACTCCAATGGAGTCAAAGTTTCCTCCTTCATGTTTTCATAATAGGTCTGAGCAGCTGAACTGATCCTGAAGTAGTTAATGTGGGTGATGAAATTACTGCTGGTTCTTTAATTAAACCATCAGTGAAGTTTATGCACAGATGATAAGCTTTAATTTGGTGAGTTAGCCAAGCTCTGTCTGTGTTCCTGTATCTTCCTTTCTTCTTTCTGCTACATTTCTGCAATTCTGTATTAGTTATGTGTGCTCTCTAGGAACTATGCATTTTAGGTTCCTGGTGCAGACTGTAATCCCTGGTCATTTCTGTATGTATGTAGTCACAGACTTGCAGTTGCACATAGTGTTATATCTTCTTCAAATATGCCCTATTTTAATTAAAAGCATGGTTGTTACTAAGCCTGTAAGCAAGGACAAAATACTTCCATTTCTCTGAATCAGCTACTCGGCAGCATGCTTCCATTCACTCCCTGGAAAAAAAAGGCCTAAAATGATTGCTCGCTCAAGGAGATGGGGGAAATGGTGGTGACAGCATTAAAAGGCATGTGGCATGGGTAGATTTCAGAGTAAGGTGACAGCCTGGCCAAGTTTTCCCCAGTAATTTAAGAAAGAGGGTTCAGTGGTAGTTCTTGAATTTTTTTTTTCTGTTGGCATTGTGAAGTGTTGATTTCAGTAAAAGCTTACTTAAATGCAGCTTTGTAAAGGAGAGGGTAGACATGGTAAACTCATTATTTTTATGATAAATAATGCTTCACCACAATGAGACCCCATACACTGCTAGCCTTACAGGCAGCTCCAACACTGTTGTGGCCATGCAGAAGAACAGGTTCTTTTTAGAAGAGCTTCTGTTTCACAGATAATTTATTTAGGTAGGCAGTGGTAGCCCATTATTCTTTTCTGTTTCTTGGATCCCATTCCAGTGTACTACCTGTTTCTGAGTACTCCTGTTGGTAGTCTGTGGGGCAGTACTGTTCAATTTATGGCTTTTTTTTAGGAAGACTTCAATGACTTCTATGGCATCTGCTGTTTTTTGTACAAACCTCTGTGGGTAGAAGAGGGTGCTGCAATATGCCTTGAGGGAGGAGGACAACACGGGTGTCCCAAATAAGACACTTTGTCCACCAAACTAACATACTGTAGTAGAACAATAGCACATTGCTTCTTAGCTGAAGTAGGTTGTAGGGCCTTGAATTACATGTGATCTGGCTGTCGCCTGGGTATGAACAGACTGGCTAGAAAAACCCCAAACTTAACTGATCATCAAGTACATGCGTATGATGGAGGGACTAGATGTTAGCACTACTGGTATCTGTTTTTTTTTTAATTTGTGTACAGATAGAGGTGAAATAATAATTTGGTTTTTAAACTGCTCCTGCCTTGCAGAACGAATTTCTCTGAATGAGTTTCTTTAAAGATATTCCTGTCTAGTGGGTCAGGAAGTAATCTAGTCTCCTATGCTGTCTGACTGCCTCTTGGGTATACTGCAATTAGCTACACTTTGAACCTGAATGAAAAAAACGAGGAGAAAACCATTTTCCTGACTCCTCCATTATTCCCACTCAGAGTGAAAACTGTCTCCCTTCAGCACCCTTCAAGGCAGGAAAATTTTGCTTATTCTACTTTTCTACATGAGTATGTGGTGGGTGCTTTACAATTTGTTTCCGCCTGGCTATGCACAGAGATGTCAACAGAAATCAGTTCTGAGGAAAAATCAAGAGAGTAGAGGGCTAGGAAGACTGCTTAGGGAGTAGCAAAGATTGAGCTTGCTGGCATGACAAGGTAATTTTTTCCAGCAGCATTTATTAAAATAAAGTTAGCATTGAGTTGTATGTTGGCTCTATTTTATATTTCATTACACAATATGGAAAAAGCACAAAGCTAATTCAAGTGTACACAGAAGTATCTATTACAATGAATAGATTTTCTATTTGTAGGCTTTGTAAATGTTTATAAATCTATATTTCTCTTATCACATATGTCTCTTTCTGTAGTCATCTATTCCTTAAGTGAACTGATCACTGAAGACAGGTAGAACTTTATGGCATGGGAATCTGTTATTAAGCAGATGATGCGTTTTCCTGTGGTCTAATTAGATACTGTCTCAGAGAGTTCAAAAATACCATGGCCCTGAATTTCTAAAGAGGCAGTTCTGTGAAGGCTAAATCCAACCAGAGCAGTATACATTCCAATACCCCTTGAAACTCTGGGGCAGAAAAAGAGTTTTCATCTCTCGCTTTCTTGTTGTTTTGGTGTGGGTGGAAAAGATTTTGTTTGAATGTGTTTCAAACAAATCACAAGGTGTGTGCCATCTGAGCCAGCTTGTGTTTTCCTGTTCAACAGGAGCAATAGCAAGAAATAGTGAATGTCGGTGTCTGTAGCTCTTATCAGAATATTGTATCTGATGGCCAGCAGTAGATACAACAGCTCAGCAGCACATTCTTCCAGGGAAACAGCATTAAAAAGTGTGTTCCGTATATGTATGTATGTATGAATGAAGCCATAGTGAAGTTCTTTCCTCCTTCAAAGTGTTTTCTTGATACAGGACAGTGCCAGTTTTAGGGGCTTCCTCTCAGAGCCATTTCCAGTGGTACTTTGCAGGACAGGTCAGAGACCTGTGGAGACAGAGTGGAGAACGTAAGACTGGTGTGTACCTTACAGTTGATATTGATGAGTAAATACTCTTCTGAGGTCTATTCTTTAGGTGGTTTGATTGGCCATGTCCAAAGAGTTACAGTCAGTAGCTTGATGTCCAAGTGGAAACTAGGAACAGATGGTGTCCCTCAAGGGTCCATACTGGGACCAATACTATTGAGTATCTTTATCAACAACGTAGTGGGATCAAGTGCACCCTCAGCAGGTTTGCAAATGACATCAAGCTGAGTGGTACAGTTGATATGCTAGAGGAAAGGGATGCCATCTAGGCTTAAGAAGTGGGCCCATGCAAGCCTCATGAAGTTCAACAAGATCAAGTGCAAGGTCCTGCACATGGGTTGGGACAATTCACAACATCAGTACAGTCTGGGGGATGAATTAATTGAGAGTGGAGAAGGACTTGGGGATACTGGTGAATGAAAAATTGGGCATGAGCTGGCAATATGTGATGGCAGCTCAGAAAGCCACCTGTGTCCTGGTGCTGCACCACCAGCAGCAGGTCAATGGAGGTGATTCTCTCCTTTTGCTCTGCTCTCGTGAGACCCCACCTGGATTCAGCTCGCATCTCCAGTACAAGAAAGACATAGACCTGTTGGAGTGGGTCCAGAGGAGGGCCACAGAGATGGTCAGAACGATGGAACGCCTCTCCTATGAGGAAAGGCTGAGAGAGTTGGGGTCATTCAGTCTGGAGAACAGCAGGCTCTGGAGAGATCTTAATGCAGCCTTCCACTACTTAAAGGAAGGTATAAGAAAGATGGGGACAAACTTTTCAGCAGGGCTCGTTGTGATGGACAAGGGTTTTATATTAGAAAAGGTAGATTCAGACTAGATATAAGGAAGAAATTTTTTACAATGAGGATGGTGAAACACTGGGCATACTGCCCTGAGAGGTTGTAGATGCCCCATCCCTCGAAAGATTCAAGATCAGGTTGGACAGGGCAACCTGATCTACTTGAAGATGTCCCTGCTCCTTGCAGGGGGATTGGACTGGTCCCTTCCAACCCAAACCACCCTGTGATTCTGTGATTGCAATAATCAAGGTGAGAACTCCTACACTCCAGTTTATAAGGTCTGTTTTCTTATAAGAAAATCTATTTCGGGGTCATTGCAGTTGGAAGATTATTTATTTTTGCTGCCATGGCAGTTTGGGCAGCCAATAACGTAGCATCTTGAAAGGTTCCAAAATTGAAGAGTGGGTTGAATAATTTAAGGCTGGATGTTCTTGTTACTGGAAGATGATCAGGAGGCACTTCCTTCCTCCTACCACCTTTCATTTGTCCGCCTTCATTGTTGAAAGTTTTTTTTCTATGCTATCATCTAAACATCAAGACAGCTGGAGAAGGGGATGGATTGTGGAGTGAAAAGCTTTGTGCATTGGTGTCAAGGTGATAAGGAACAGGTTATTTTCACAGATTCATGTAGTTACTGGAGAACACCAAGGCTTTTTTTTGTCTCTATGGTATGGGTATTGCCAGGAGAGAAACAGTTTTCATAATAATCCTTAGTTCTTAGTCTAAGGAAGTCTGCAATATTTCTCCTCAGTACTTTATGTTTGGTTATTTGCTAGCTGAATCTAGGTTGTATCAGAGGAGAATGATAGTAAAGGGGTGCTGGTGGTTGAAAGGCTCCTGGTTCCATGAGAATAGACTGGAGTAGAGCAAATAAAAAGGTAAGTTATCTTCACACTGGTTTCTGGCTTGGATTCTGAGTATGAGAAGAGAAAGTCAGTTTTAGCAGCAAGAAAAACAGTTTTCCAAAGAGTTGTCTGACAGGTAGGAAGAGAGGCAGTAGTGAGGGGCTTGGCAGAGGCATAAGTGGTAGTTAGACCTCTAACTCCTGCAGAGACATAGCAGGAGACAGAGCACTCTTCTGCCATTTGTGCCTTTGAAACTGCTGCTCTTGGTAAAGGTTTGCAAGTTCTCTTCTAGTCACTCAGCAAAGAAGCTGTTTGAAAGAGTATTACTTGCCAGTGTGTGAAAGGAAAGTGTCAGTGCTGGCAAATTTAAATGTCTTGCATCACACTCTCAGTGGTCCTACACGGGTTTAGAGCAAATGAGGTTCTGACCTTGTTTAAAAACAGCTATCATTTTCTGTCTGTAATATTGATTTCAGTGACAGTTGATAGTTGTCAATACATCCCTGTACTGACAATAATATAATCTGGAAATATAATCCTCACTTCATTAATTATTAGGCATAATTTAGAAGTCCAAAGTGCAGTGGTAATAAGGAAAACCTGCTGATGTCTGCCCACTATCCATTCTCATCTTCAAATGGTGAAGTAACCACATAGATGTTTGAAGTAAACACCTGCCTGATTTCAGTACAACAAAATCTGTTTTGGAAAACCAGCAAGTCAGTAACATGGCATAAGTGGTGTGCTGTATTATGTTGTCTGTGTTCCAGAAGAGACGCTGTCACCTCTTCCACCCACCCTCTGCATGTGGAGTATCTTTTCAAAGCAATCTGAGGGTGTTTGCCTGTGCATTTAAACTGAAGGCTTGATTCACTAGTTTTATTGTTTGAAGTAGGAATACTAAAGGAAGCATTTTCAATTGGGAGCATTTGGGGAATTATAACCATTTTTGTTAAGTGTACCCTTTCATACAAGAGTGACAGCCATGTCCAGTGACCCAGAGCATCATTAATCCAGAATGTTTAGAGCTATTAGCCAGGGTAGCAAAGCTCAGAAAGGTTGCTCTCCCATCTCAGTAGTTAAATCCAAGACAAGTGGAACTGGGGAAATGAGGCAAGTATAGTCCTTTGAAAGAAGGATAAGAATGTCTGTTGCCTTGAGTCACAGCAATATATATTATTTAGAAGCTGGACCTATCAGAAATATGGCCAAAGGCCAGAACATAGCTTTCAGACTGTGAAATAAAGAAAACGATACAGTCCAAAAGATATGGTTTAATAAATGGAGTTGCGAATTTGGTGATGCTGAAATTTATTGGTGGCTGTAAGTAATGTGTCCAGGAACTCTGGTGAATGGGTAAAAAAAGAGGGATGACATTGCTGTCATATTGCTCTCATGAGTGTGAACAGAGGTGATGGAGGGGTTTTGGCAGCTACAAGCTCTAATGGGAGAGAGCTGTAGAATAAGTGGAAAAAATTCCACCTTAAGTTAAATCTGCACTACTCTTTAATGAAATGTGACCAGCTTTCGGAAGGAAAGGATGTTTTCTGGCCTTGAAAACTGAAAATTGTTTGTATTTGGCTTTTTTTCCCCTGGATTGTTCACACTGATTCAGCACTGACTATATATAGATTTATTTTTTTTTTCTTTCAACAAATCCACTCCTTTGATATAAAAGAGGAGCAGCTTTTACATTAAGCCAGAAATCTGGAGGGGAGGGTATTTTGGGATCCACCTACCTCTTGTGAGATAGTCTTTACTACTCTAAATTAGATTCCCTGAACATGCCAGATATGAGTAGAGCATATGGATTGGGCAAAGGTATCTGAAATAGGAGCCTTTTTTCTCCGTGCTACAGCTCAGCTCATCCTGAAGTGTGACAGGCACTTTCAGTGACACTTCCGTGCGGGAAAGAAGATGATAGCTGTGAAGATAGGCCAGAAGCTTTCTCTCTGGTTGAGAGCTCTGCTGGTTGCACGACATGATTACATAAAAAGCCGTAGGGAAGCTGTGAGTTGCTAATGTTTTCAAGGTAGGGCTGAGGCCTTGCTTCTGGATTTTGGATTGTGACATATTTGTCCTTATACCTATATTGATCCTGTGCAGGCAAGCTTTGGCAAAAACTGAAAATGCCAATGAGTTTCTCTGTTTTCCTTTCAACATGGTCATCAGTGAACCCTTTAATGTCCTCATTTATTAATTACTGTTGGAGTCTCATGGATTGCACATCCACATCTTTAGCCCAAATGATTTTTATATAGTTGAAAAGTACTGATGAACCCTGTAACACACAGAGGATTTTGGTAGCAGAATCAGTAGTGGATGGTTTCACTGATTACTCTGATTCCAGATCTTCAGTCTGCTGCATGGTCTGCCTTGGGCTGGTGTGCCTTCAGGATCACCTGAGCCCAGAAAATGCCTTGAACAAACAGCTTTTCATTATTAGTTCTGAAATGGGAGTTGCTAACACTCTGCCCCTTGTTCATTTCAGTACAAATTCAAATACTTAAGGAAGGGGGTTCAAGCTTATTCCATTTCCATTGAGTTTGCCACTCCATATTGACTTCACACTCAGGTAGAGGCACTCATGTTGCTCAGTTGTAATGAGAGAAGCTCAGTTAAATGAAGCTGTTCCCTATGGTGCGGCTTCCCCCTGCTCTGCAAAAAGACTGTAACCAGAAACATACAGGAAGAGCTGAAGGTTGTCCAGAAGGCCTGGCTTTCCCCAGCTTCTGGCTCTGAGAAAGCTTTGGATGAGCAGGATAAGGAACAGGAATTTTAGCTGTTTGGATGAATATTTGCCTTGGCAGGATGTGTCAAGAATCATCTGAGCTGTAAGCTCATCTCATTTACACATAGTATACTTTCTGCAGAAGAAAGGAAAATACAGTTTTAATAGAGATTAAAGAATGCTAAACAGTGTACTACCGTGGTATGTTCAGATCCTGAGAAGAGTTAAATACTGGGAACTAACATACTTTTAGTTTTCGATTTGTAGCTGTTTGCTCAGCAATGTGAGGAATCCTCATAAATAAATAAAATACCTGCGGTTCTTTTTTGTATTAAGAAAAAAACCCAAAACGTATAACTTTTCTTTGTGTTGCTCAGCCAACCTTGCAATGGCAGGTTATCTCTGCTGGCACACAGCAGAAAGTTTCTGCAGAGCAATATTGCTTCCAGTGTTATCCAGGTTGCTCAGCCAAATTTATCATTAACAGGTTTGCCAAGACCCTTAGGCAAAGAGATGATTTGATAATGAACAGCCATCATCTTATCTGAATAGACAGCTATTGGACATAGACTGCCAAGAGATCATCTGCTGAATTCTTTGGAAGTATGAATGCCTAGCTGCAAATGTTTTAAACTCTTATCTTTTTGAGCTGCTCAGCCTACCATAATCAGTCAGGAATAGTTTCAATGAGTGTGCTCTGTAAGTTCTTCCTCGAGGGAGAGATTTTTTTGCTCTGGCACACACATTTTACATCACTGCGCTTCCCTGTGTGTGCTCAGATCTCTTTTGACTCATTTCCACAGTGTGTCTTTCATTCAAATGATCTTTCTTTGGACCTGTAGGCCTCCAATTCCTTTTTAAAATCCTGTGGCACAGTAAAGGTTCAGTCCTTTGGGAGTATTGTGTGTTCTGTCTTCATGTACAGAAATATGTGCAAGGTATAGCAGGTATTTTCTAGATACTGTTTAGGTTATGAACTTACACAGGTGCTGCAAAATTACATTTTTGAGACTATTTTAGGTTGTGAAAGTCACCTTGGCACAAAGGTCTATCAAAAGGCAGTAGATTTCTTGCATAGGTGCACATGATTGTCCTTTAAATAAGAATTGACTTTTCTGATGTACATGTGATTAATCATTTTTTCACCAGCATATAAGGGAGGTCACATCAAAAATCTGTTGAACAATTTTGACTTAGCAGAATTCTTTTGATTTAGTAGTTTGGTGAAGATGCAACACTATGTGAGGAAGACAAAATTATAGCTAGTCTGAATGTAGCTGAAATAAATACTATGTGTAAGCCAATTAAAATGAAGCCTCTTAAATGGGCAAATGGGAGGCTCTTGAGCAATGAGGATTTGATTTTCTTACTGCTTTCTTACTAATACTGTATGATTCCAAGTGTATCTCCTTAGGAGATAAAACCCCTCAATTCCCCCTTGGATTCCCTGAGAGAAAAAGATGGTTAATACTATCTGAAAAAGCCATTAAGTATTTTTTTTTAGGCCTAAATATTACCAAAACCTTTTAACTAGTCATGTGGCAAGAGTAAAATAGTCACAACAAAAACTCTAAACAAATAAGCAATGGCTTATTTAGGGTTGGGTGTCCCGTATTCAGGCCTCAAATCTGTGTCTTTGATACTTCATTAAGCTGATGTAGCTTGGTTTTTTCAAAGGTCATCAGGGTCTGCCCTTTACTACATGGAATACTACCTGTTTTACACCTGCTGATAAGCCCTGAAATGTCATGGTTTATCCAAAATGAATGAAGAATCATTAAAATGGATGCTTTACCAGATACCAACAGTGGTTGACTCTAGGTATGGCTAGCTTAGAGTCACGGCTAGTTACATCACACTGTCCCATAGCTCCCAGTCCAGACTGGAGACAATCTGAGCCGTCTGCAGACTGCTGCTGACTTGCAGGTCTGAGGTCCTTCCCGTGGCAAGCATAGTGAGGAGGGACACGGTGCAGGCAGGGTGAAGAACATGTGCCCCAACTGGGGAGCAAGGACATGCTTTCCTGTCCCTTTTAAGACTCAGCCTGTAAATAGCTCCCTCAAAGTGTTTGCAAATATTTATGAATGAATCTCAGGACATTTTAAAACTGCTGACTCAGATTTGGGGTTTGATGACTAGATTTGTAAGCTTATTTAGCTGTGTAGTTTTGTTAAAACCAACAAGAACTGGGCCTCTAAATACTTTTATAACAGTTGTGAAGTAAGATATTTATTATGGCTTTTGTACTCTAATAACGTTTTGCTGCAGCTTTGCCCCTGTGTTTTTTCCCCTGTTTAGTTTTCTGAAGAGAATATTAAAACAAACAGAAAAAAGGAG